TATATATATATATAGTATTTTCCTCCGCCACATCCTCTTCCAGAATCAATTATTTTTGCGTAAGTAGCGTAGAATGTATGGAATAATCAAATAGTTTTGCTTTTCTCTTGCGATTTTGAAAAAAACTATCTTTTCTTTATTTTTAACGACAATTTCACTCTAATGTGCACACTTGCGTTAAAAGTAATTGTAAAAATGAATGTGAAATCAGACAACTTGAGCTTTGAAATGTAAAATGAATTTTTTTGTTATTTAATATTTATGAACGACCAACGGTCATTAAAAAAATAAGCATTCTAACGAGTTGTCAAAAAAGGGTGTCCCTCTTTACTTGAAAGTTCTTTAAAAAGCATTATCATAAAGCGTACGAGCGTATACTGTAAATTGTCCAAGTTCTTTTCACCAAACGATTAAAATAAAAGGTACAAAGAGCACGATCGTTATGTAGACCGAGTCGCGTATCACATTTGCATACTTCGTTTCGCACCCGATCGCCAATATTCATATCAAATCATCACGTTTCAGCCGCACCTTGTATGCAATCTATAGGAGTCTTAGCGAATCGAGTTGGCGGAGGAAAAAGAGATTGAAACGTGTGCAGGTGCATCTCGAGCCATATCGAACTGCTTCGGTAAATATACGCGAATTGATAGGTAGTACGGCTATAGTTCTGTGGTACGGGGAAAGAGAAAGTCGTCGAAACAAACGCGATTCCGACTTCTGGATTAGCGTAAAATAGGTAGTGAAAAAAAAAAAGACCCACGCATCGCTTACTCGAACAAATTCCACAATGAGACAAATAAAAAAAAATAAATAAACGCGTTTCTATGACATACGTACACATATAAATATATTAAACAAAACAAAGTATATGACATATAAATATATATTCTATACACATTACACACGAGACCCTCTAGTCCTACAAATAATATATACATATAATAAACATATAATTATTGTGTGACGCGTGTATGACCGTCCGCCTGTATCGCGTGATTTCAAATAAGGTATACACGTATTATTATGCAAACGAGAAAAAATGGTAAATGCCACTCGGATGTGAGAGAGTAACAAATAAAATGTTAGATGCAGTGTCGTTGTGTTTAGCAAAGTTCTATGTTTATTTATTTTTTTCAATACTTTTGCTGCAGTGAAGATTGAAAAAAAAAATAAAGTAATAACAAATATATACGTATAACCGTGTACGACAACACTTGTTCTATATAACTATACGTAAGCGAGATGATGGTGATGATTTTGTTATTTGCGTAATTTTCTTATTGTACGTACCGCGACCTTTGTCTGTAATTATACACCTACATCTTCGATTTGCTTCGATAGATATAATACATATGGATGTGAGTAATTTTTTGTTTGTTTATTGATATGAACACTCCAGGAGATACGGTTTCAGGGCTTACACCGTATAGTGAAATGTTTCTAAACTTGACATTTTGTATAATTTTTTCTTTATTCAATAGAAATCGTTGTTATCTGTAAATTAAGTTACGTTAATTAAGTGTATTTTTGTAAAAAGTGAAAAAATTTAATCCCTACATGAATTGTAAATATACGTTTACGTTAGGAAATAAAAGCCAATGATTCAAATTGTTGTGTACAAAAAAAATGGAGTATGTGAGCGAAAAATTACAATTGAACTGAAATTTCATTCTACGGTACGATCCTTGAAGGTAAATGTATTTTTGCGCTTTGATCATGCATAATATGTGTATAATGTATTGGAAGAAATTATAAGGGAAACAAAAGATACAAATTGTAGAAACTGCGCATCGAGAGCCTTTAAGATATCCCAACGATGCTACGAACAAAAAAAAAAAAAAGACATATCGTTACAATGAATTTAAAGTAGCGACGAGGTAATAAACACACGTGTGATTTTTATTTTTCAACGACGCTAAGGCAGGCACAAAAGTTGTTCGTATTAAGAAAAAAACAAAAGTAACATAGCTCAAAGTACCCTTGTGAAAAAGAGTCGATTTCCGTGAAATCGTTATCCGCTGCGATTCTGCTTCTGTAGGGATTGATAGAACAAGTATTGGAACTGTATAGCTTTCCGAGGGAGGGATAACAAATATACTCACGAGACGTTGCTGCTTTTCGTAATGTTATCCTTAGGCGCGATAATGATATCAAACATATAACGATCTCACCGAATCGATTCCGATTTAAGAAATGAGAAGCAGTTTCGAAAGGTCGCGTACGGATTTTTCCACAGCTTCCACAAGTCCTTGCATCGAAGCTCGATTCTTTGACGGAAAATGAAAACCAATAACACACGACACACACGTTAACAAGTAAAAATATAATTACAATTATGTTAACAGAAGCTTGAACGAGCATATCGAGGGATGGAACTCGAAATCGGGACGATAATAGTAATTAAAGTAATAATAATGAAATAAAGAAAAGACTAATTTAACCATTCCTTCGATCAGATTTTCTGTCGCGTTATTAGTAATACCTAATAAATGAAACGAAAAATAAATAAGCCAGATTACATGTGTTTAACGCAGTTGATCGAAAAAAAAAAAAAAAAAAAAAAAAAACAGCAGCTATCGGTATGCTATAATAATTAGTAACAATGCGCCAGACGAATATTGTCGAAAGATCAGTGACGACGACATTCCACTACCACCATTCAACACTACCCTCGGGGCGTTTTACTCCAATCTTCTTTTATCATAATTCTTCGTTAACGGGGTAAAGCTCCAATTAATCTTATTAACATATACTCATGGATGTATCATCGCTGTCGTCACGCGCCACATTTATATAAATAAATATGTACGTATGTATATGTAAAATGATGTATCTTCAGCAAACTATCGCTTCTATGCGTAAAAAAATGATATTAAACTAAAGAAAAAAAAAATCGCGGAAAGTCGTCGTCGCTGAAATCGTCACTAATTACTAAGATACGACTATTGCCTACTCAATGTAATGTACAATATGTAGTAATTACCTGTTGTTACCACCGAACCGTCGTCAAAGATATATAAAATATTGTCATTGTATCATAAGAGTTTTATATATTCATTTATCTGTTTCTTACCTTCCTCCTTTAGAAATTTTTATTTTCTAATTTTGAGTTGCAGAAAGTTCCGTTTCAAATGCTCGTATTCGTTATGTTAATATACATAATTTTTATTAATAATACAAAACAGAATATGAAAAATTTCACAACATTTTATCTGTGTTTTCCAAACCAAAACTTATCAGTAGGAGATATCCATTTGTGACAACCTCCAAAATTATTTTGTATAATATACTTCATAGTGTAAGGATTTTCATTATTTTCTTCCAGATATTTTTCATCCTCAGCCATTATGTCCAACACCTTTTGACTCACAGCTTTTGCTTTAAATGGCATCCTGAGTGCTACTTCACGTAAAGCTTCTTTCACCTAATAATGCAGCGAATAGATTGTGTAAAATTAAAAAAAAAGAAAAATAATAATTCAAATACCAATAATGCGACAGTATGGTCAAACAAGATTACCTCTGGCCATTCGACTGGACCGCCGACTTCGATAATAACTCTTCCAGCTTTCACTGGTGTTACATAATGATCAATTGCACCTTTTCCTCCTCCCATTCGCTGTCCTTGGCCCTTAAAAAAAACACAATTTGTTAAGCATTATTTTAAAAATAGTTAAAAAGTGTATTCTGTATGTAGTACCTTTTTAGTAACAGGTTGCCAGGGAGCATCAATGCGATACAATGCAAAAGCTTTATTAGGTAATTTTCTATTTAACGTGTTACGTATTACCTCAAAATGATTATATTTTAATCTTCCTCCAATAAGAGCCTATGCACACAGATAAATTGAAAAAACGTTGATATTTATGTGTACGACGTATTAATACACATTTAAATGTGTTGGAAAAAAACAATGATACATACTATAACACCATACTGTTTGTGTAAAAGTTCATTGTGTACTAGTTCAGGACCTCTCATCAGTCGAAGCTTTTTCTGCATTTTGAATGGTCTCATGGGAGCCAAAAACACTGGTGTTTTTGGCATTATTGGCAACTTTTTTCCTCGAGAATCAGGTGGGACTTCCACGTCTAAGAAAATTATTTAACAATTTGAAATATGAACTGGGCAAAAAACGTTTATTGAGAATGTAAGAAAAAAAAACAAACCCCATTTCTTTGGTGGAGGAAAATACTTGAGACCAGCTCTTTGTACAGTATTGCCGAGAACATCTCTAGGAATCGTCAAGCCTTTTAAAATTAAAAAGGAGGTAAAAACTATGAAATAAATCTTTGAAAATTTTGAAAATGTAAATATCAAACTTTCAATTACCTGCAAGGCGACAGTTGCCCAAAATAAAATGTATAATCATTTTTGGAGTTGTAAATAGCTTCAAATTTTTTTCACAAAATCACACCGACCACCGAAATCACGTAAAATTTCGGAACATAAACAATACAGGAGGTTATGTCATATATTGTTTACGATCCATCCATGCACGATATACCTACAATTCGTTTCCGCATTTACAAATCCATTACATATTACATTCGCTTAGGTGTACTAGCGCTGTATAGCGTTGATATTATCGCAATCCGCTCGGCTTTTTATTGCGAAAAGTTGTCAAGTCGGCTTTTTAATGTGAAGTTATGTGTAGTAACATAGTAATCACAATCCCTACCAAGCAGTAGTATAAGTGGTAGTGATCGATTTTATTAAACCATACAAGTAGAATATCTGTACTTTTGGAGGTCAATTTTTGGATAAAAGATAAATTGTGCACCTGCCGCAAACAAGATTGCTGAAGTAACCTTTTTATTTTCTGTGTGATAGTTTAGTTGCGGCTGGTTTATAATTGACAAAATGGCTCTACTGTAAGTATAGTATTATGGTAATAATTATTTGGATCAGCGCCATCTAGCGTTGCGGATTTCTGAACTAAAAAGTGGCCCTAAACTTTTGAACCAGAGCTTTAGCGCGTAGAGCCATTTAGTCAGTTATAAACCAGCCGCAACTCATCTTATGGCTATAAAATAAAAAAATAATTATACATGTGTTTTTGGCGGCAAGTTAACAATCTATTTTCTACCAACAAATTGACCTCCTATGTGTTTATACTTTTAAAGATGAATTTTCAAGCATAAGATAGATTGTTAACTTGCCGCCAAAAACACATGTATTATTATTTTTTTACTTTATAGCTTCGTCATGAGTTGCGGCTGGTTTATAATTGACTTAATTGCTCTAATCCTGAATGCTCTGATTGAGAATTTTAGGAGCCACTTTTGGCCAAAAAATAAAGACCGCTAGATGGCGTTGTTCAAAAAAATTATTACTACTTATTACAGTAGTGTCATTTAATCAATTATAAACCAGCCGCCACTACTATTATAGATATAAAATTGAAATTAAACATTTTTTGAGCTGTTTGAGGCAAGTTTGTAGTTTATTTTTTACCCAAAATTATAAACATATAGGAGGTCACTATTCAGATATAACATAAATTGCAAACTTGCCGCAAACAGCACAAATGGCGTTATCTTTCCATTTTGCACTAAAAAAATCAATTGCGGCTGGTTTATAATTAATTAAATGACACTACTGTAATGAGTAGTAATAATTTTTTTGAACAACGCCATCTAGCGGTCTTTATTTTTTGGCCAAAAGTGGCTCCTAAAATTCTCAATCAGAGCATTCGGGATTAGAGCAACTTAACCTATTAAAAACCAGCCGCAACTCATTTTTTAGCTATAAAATAAAAAAATAATTATACATGTGTTTTTGGCGGCAAGCTAACAATCTGTCTTTTACTCAAAAATTTATCTTCAAAAGTATAAATACATAGGAGGTCAATTATTTGGTAGAAAATAGATTGTTAACTTGCCGCCAAAAACACACGTATAATTATTTTCTTATTTTATAGCTACAAATTAAGTTGCGGCTGGTTTATAATAAGCTAAGTATCTCTAAGCGCTAAAGCTCTGGTTCAAAAGTTTAGGGCCACTTTTTAGCTCAGAAATCCCCAACGCTAGATGGCGCTGATCCAAACAATCACTACTACTCACAGGAGAGCCTTTTTATCGATTATAAACCAGCCGCAACTAATTTTACAGATAAAAGATGTAAAGTTGACTTTGTCTGTGCTATTTGCGGCAATTTAATTTTTTATATATTTTATGTATATGTGTATATACATATACATTGGTGTGATTAACGCGCGCATATCAAAAGTTTTTGAAAACGTTATTTACATAACTAACTCACCGGTCTCACAATAAGTAACCATAAGTAACGATAATACAATGAATAAAGTAATATTCTTATTTGTGATGAGGTCAAGTTGCCAAGTACAAATGTATAATCAGTTACAGATTTATTTTCAAGTCAAACATCATTCGTGCATTCATTAAGCGCGATCGTGCGAATAGCAGACGAACTTGTGTTGTTCTGTGTTGATATTATCCGGAACTCATCGCGTGTACCCATAGGAATTGCAATGTCTTTTTTTACAAGTATATATAGACTAAAGCAACTGTAAGTTTTTTGTTAAAAATACCTAAGCTGTCAATGATCAACAGTAATTATGAATATTGTTGTTTGAAGTTGCGTTGACAGTGAACGATAAACAGTGTACGGTATCCTAACCTATGAGCAGAACAATGTTTTCAAACATTCTTTTTGTGCAATAAGAACGATTATTAAGCAATTCGAGCCAAATAAATGCAAGCTTTCAAAATGTTGCTCAAAACATTTCAACTGACTTCAAGGAATTTCCGGAACGTCGCTCGTTTGCTGGCTGTTGAATCTGGTGTAATTGTTCCTGCACAGAATTATGCTAGACTAGTTCCAAGGAAGGGAAAAATTGTCAATGAGGACGAACTTTTTGATGTTAGCATTGACTCACCGACTCCAACACCTCCCACAGTAAAACCTAAGCGTAAGTTCACGAAATCCAAAGCTAAAGATACAAGAGAGTGCAACGAGTCAATGAGCAAACAGCTTCATACAAAGCTGTACCAGAATGATAAAGTAGTTTCGTGAGTATATTGTGAAGAAGACGTGCATATAGTTTTTGCAAACAAAGAGAATGTTAATGCATTTTTTGTTAATAGATCAATAATGATGAGCCTTTTGTCGAAAAAGCAAAGGAAAAAGAGTGACCAGATAGTCCTAGAAGGCAAACGTTTGATCCAAGAGGCTCTTGAAGCTAAAATCAAATTAGAAACCTTGCTTTTCAGCAGACACGAAGATGTTAAGGATTGGGCAATTCCAAAGACGGCCAAGATGTATAAGGTACCTTACAGAACCATACAGCTTTGGTCAACTTTGACAACGTCCCCTGGTGTTATGGGTAATGCAGCACATTTTAAATAAATACCATCTGATGTTAATTACTTGAAATAGCTTAAAGTTTAATATTTTATTCTTTTATTTAGGAGTTTTTCAAAAACCAGGTCCATTGAAGCTTGCAAAAAATTCATTGCCAATAACTGTGGTGTGTGATAATGTGAGAGATCCAGGAAACATGGGCTCAATTTTGAGAGCGGCTGCTGGAGTTGGCGTTGAAAAAGTTATTTTGACAAAAGGTTTGCTTAGTACTTTTTATGAAAATCATTGATTTTGAAATAATACTTATAATACTTACACACATTTTTAGGCTGTGTTGATTTTTGGGATCCCAAAGTGTTGAGAAGTGCCGCGGGTGCACATTTCCAGATTACAGTTTATAGTTCTATAGACTGGGTAGACATTGAATCATTTTTTAATGATAATGCACAAGCTTATTTAGCAGACAATAATACTAGTGTTTTTGAAGAAGACGTTGAAACTTGTGTGAATGAAGAAGAAAAAAATAAAGCTGACCAAATAGAAGAGGATGATGAAGAAGAAGAGGATGCCAAAGTATCCGAGACAAATAAAAAATCGAAAAAAAATTATTACCAACAAAAATATAAACTTGATGTACTCGGGAAATTGAATAATATACCTCTCGTACCTTATTATTCTGTAGATTATACAAGTAATCAGGCAATCTTAATTGTCGGTGGTGAAACAGAAGGCGTGAGTCATCATTCCATCAAACTGCTACAATCAAGACAGGGATTAAGAGTCAATATTCCTTTGGAAAATAATGTAAATAGTTTGAATTCAGCAATGGCTTTGGGTATCATTGCCTTTGAGATGAAACGACAATATTTGGGCGTTCTAAGTAAATTAAAACAAAAGCAGGTTCAATAATCAATAAGTACTGTATTCATAATTTGTAGATAAATTTCACTTGTTAGTGTGTACATTATTCAAATGTATTATAACTAGTTGTTTTTTAACTTTAATAAATAAATTTTAACAAGTTAAAGCTTTATCATTCCCGAAAACGATAACGTAAGCGCAAAATAAGTTGGTATAAGAAGCGCGTAAGTTTTAGAATGAATAAAACTTCCAATTTAGAACCTTTTTTTTTTAATAATTAAAAAAATTATAAACAATGATTGCCAAACTCAGTCTTGCTGCAAGTCTTTCAGTAAGGAAAAAAAAATGCAAGGCGTCTACTTGACAAAGACAAGAAACACGAGAAGCAGAATGAAATCCAAAGTCCCTCAAAATTACGGACCAAAGGTGGTTTTTACGTCTCATCTAAAGCATAGGAGCACAGAAGAAGAACACGCTCGAAAGACATGTACATGTAATTCAGTAACTCAGGAAGTTCTGAACGCGAGACGACATTTTTTTTCTTTTTTTTACGAAGTACGTACACCTTTACAACTTCACGCAGGAAAAAGTAAAAGGAAACCACAGCAGCTTTGATTATTACGTTGAAAGAAGGTGACGAAGCGAAGAAGAAGCTTTTGTGCGTCGCTATTGATTCCCAGCCAGGGCTGACAGACCGCACCCTTCGACTTGTGTCTCTTTTTTTCCTCCCCCATTTCAGCCTCTGTCGCGTCCTTCACTCATTCTCTCTCTACAGAGCTTCTACCATCTACATGTTTTTTTTACACTTATTCATTTATTTTTTTCAATGCTTGGAAAAAATGGATTTTTACATGATGTTGTTTATTTATTTTGGCAAGTACATTGTTTCACTTGGCTTTCCCAATAGTGCGATTTTTAATCAAATTATCACCTGTACCTCCGAGGTACAAAAATAAACATGAAAACAAGTGATGATTGTTTGTTTGCAATATTACTTGAAGATAAAAATAACATTTTAACATTTCCGTGTTTATGCATTTCGTAGCTTGCAATGAAATTGTAAGAAAAGCTCGTGTTATATGGAAAAATCGTAGATATACAATGTTTTAAAAAGGTCGAAAGCTCCCAAAACCTTTCCAACCATCTCCGTTCGAGCGCTTGCAAGCTCATTGGCGGCCGGCAGGGTTGTACGCATTCGTACGAGGACTTGCGGGATAAAGCACCGCCCCTTTGGCGCGGATCGCAGCATCCCCGACTCTCCGCCCCCTGCCGCTGGACCGACATGTCTAGACAAGGAGGAAATGGCGGAACTCGCTGGCATCGACGTCACCAGTTTTTTTAAATCAAATTTTCACCCAATTTTTCAAGGAACTCCACCGTGCGAGCGAGAACATTTTTTTCCTTCTTTCGAGGAATCCTGACTCGACTCTTATCTTATCTCTTATTCATACAGCTCGTCCTATCGCTTGGCTGCGGCCCAGGACATGTTTGATTATGTACGCCCGCCCGTCTTTATCATCGTCGAGATTTCCTAGCTCGATAAATAAGCGTGTGAAGTGGTATTTATTTTCCTTTTTTTTTTTCTTTTTTTTTTTTTTTTTTCACGCGCACGTTTGACATGTAGGTAACAAGAGCCGCGTAATCTAGAAACGTGGCTTGGAAAACCAGAGGAGAAGAAAAAGTAATAAAAATCATGGTGTGAAATGACCATTTTGTGTCATTTCGCCGTCACTTTAGCAAAGTAATTTCTATTGTACAAACAGTAAAAATCACTGTACTCTTAATAAAAATATTTGCCAAACAGTAAAAAGTCTCTAGATGACGAAATATGATCAGATTACCATTCCAGGATGGTAATTTTTATTTTGTATAATTTTTTTCTCTCAGTAACGCGTTGTCTCGAACCATCAGGATGCCAATAATTTTGTGAAAATCAGTCATTGAAAATACGTTTCTTCGTTCAAACACCAAACCAAAAGGTCATCACCTTTTATACTTTCCAAACGCATACACATACAGTTGTAACTGGTCACGTAATTCAAGCCACACGTCTAACGCGATAACGGCCCTGGCGAGAGACAGTAATCAGTTGGTCTCGAAAATACAGAACCAAAAAAAAAAAAAAAAAAAAAAAAAGTCACCACAGTCCCCTCTTTTTCCCCCCCCTCGCGCTCNGTCTAAAAAAAAAAAAAAAAAAAAAAAAAAAAAAAAAAAGAGAGAGAGGAAAAAAAATAAAGAAATTAATAATAATACTCCCAAGCGTGTATACATACTATACATCCTTATCCAAAGCTCAAATCTACGAGCTCCCCTCAACTCTGCATCGCCCGCGTACGTATGATATATCATTATCTCGAAAACCCACGCTCAGCTAACTTGCCCTCCGTCCTCTCGTTGCGTAAAAGCAAGGTCGGTTCTCTCTATCGAGGTGGCGTTAATTTTACTCGCGAGTGTACGTCCAGGGGAGGGAAAAGAAAAGAAAAAAAAAAAAATAAATAAGAGCGAGATAAGCGTACGGAGAGGCCTGTTTACGCGCTCGAGCAGCCGGTGACCCGCGACGAGTACCCCCCGAGTGGATAACCCCGAGCTCGGCTACATATAGACAGTTTTTGCGATTGCAACCCGCCGATTTTAAATTTGTTCTTTCGGCCGGGGAGGACCGGGATATAATATACACTGCGATAAAAATGTAAAAATACACTCTGCCACTCGATTTTGAAAGTTCTGGAAAAATTATAGCCGCTATTGCGTGTTTTTTATCCTTACACTTACGCGGATGATGCGAGTTTCGCAAAGGTCGATACAGGTATATAGACACGTATAGTCGAGGAGGGATTACCCAACAATTATAGGTACATATATACTTATAATAGGCGTGTAGAAGCAAACGAGCCGGTGCAACTTGGCGAATAATTAAACGCAAGGTGTTGTCACTTGTTGCACACTAGCGTGTAAAATAGCGCACTCGGCGAGTTAGCGCATCGAAGCGTTGATTGATCCATCACCCCCGAGAGAACAAAGATATATATATATACCATCGACTCGACTGTACCGTTACTTCCATCAGGCTAATCGATGCTTAATTCATTAAACAAAGGTGCAGTTGTGACTTATTTATCTCCCTTTGGGCGTATTAATCATCAGCCGGCTACACAGCTGAGTATATATATTATAGCCGTTGCACGTGTTAATACACGAGATACCTATATACTCTAAGAAAAAGGGGTGTAAAAGGGGGGAGTCTAGTTACGTAGAGATGGATTAGAAAAAGCTCCGTGAGCTTTTGCCGTTGGGTGCGTGCGAGTTGAGTTATTCATTGCGTATGATATATGTACTTACCTCCACTTACCGTGCAGTATATCTCTAAACGCGTGTACTTACCTGTATATACGACGATGTGTGTGAAACGTGGGCGCATCATGACACGATGAGACAAACACGACAAAGCAACGTCGCGAGTTGTTGTGGAGAGACGGGAGGAGACGAGAATATCGACCTCTGCGCCGTGCGAGCAGGGGAGCTGTGTATAAGAAGCGCGTAAGTTTTAGAATGAATAAAACTTCCAATTTAGAACCTTTTTTTTTTAATAATTAAAAAAATTATAAACAATGATTGCCAAACTCAGTCTTGCTGCAAGTCTTTCAGTAAGGAAAAAAAAATGCAAGGCGTCTACTTGACAAAGACAAGAAACACGAGAAGCAGAATGAAATCCAAAGTCCCTCAAAATTACGGACCAAAGGTGGTTTTTACGTCTCATCTAAAGCATAGGAGCACAGAAGAAGAACACGCTCGAAAGACATGTACATGTAATTCAGTAACTCAGGAAGTTCTGAACGCGAGACGACATTTTTTTTCTTTTTTTTACGAAGTACGTACACCTTTACAACTTCACGCAGGAAAAAGTAAAAGGAAACCACAGCAGCTTTGATTATTACGTTGAAAGAAGGTGACGAAGCGAAGAAGAAGCTTTTGTGCGTCGCTATTGATTCCCAGCCAGGGCTGACAGACCGCACCCTTCGACTTGTGTCTCTTTTTTTCCTCCCCCATTTCAGCCTCTGTCGCGTCCTTCACTCATTCTCTCTCTACAGAGCTTCTACCATCTACATGTTTTTTTTACACTTATTCATTTATTTTTTTCAATGCTTGGAAAAAATGGATTTTTACATGATGTTGTTTATTTATTTTGGCAAGTACATTGTTTCACTTGGCTTTCCCAATAGTGCGATTTTTAATCAAATTATCACCTGTACCTCCGAGGTACAAAAATAAACATGAAAACAAGTGATGATTGTTTGTTTGCAATATTACTTGAAGATAAAAATAACATTTTAACATTTCCGTGTTTATGCATTTCGTAGCTTGCAATGAAATTGTAAGAAAAGCTCGTGTTATATGGAAAAATCGTAGATATACAATGTTTTAAAAAGGTCGAAAGCTCCCAAAACCTTTCCAACCATCTCCGTTCGAGCGCTTGCAAGCTCATTGGCGGCCGGCAGGGTTGTACGCATTCGTACGAGGACTTGCGGGATAAAGCACCGCCCCTTTGGCGCGGATCGCAGCATCCCCGACTCTCCGCCCCCTGCCGCTGGACCGACATGTCTAGACAAGGAGGAAATGGCGGAACTCGCTGGCATCGACGTCACCAGTTTTTTTAAATCAAATTTTCACCCAATTTTTCAAGGAACTCCACCGTGCGAGCGAGAACATTTTTTTCCTTCTTTCGAGGAATCCTGACTCGACTCTTATCTTATCTCTTATTCATACAGCTCGTCCTATCGCTTGGCTGCGGCCCAGGACATGTTTGATTATGTACGCCCGCCCGTCTTTATCATCGTCGAGATTTCCTAGCTCGATAAATAAGCGTGTGAAGTGGTATTTATTTTCCTTTTTTTTTTTCTTTTTTTTTTTTTTTTTTCACGCGCACGTTTGACATGTAGGTAACAAGAGCCGCGTAATCTAGAAACGTGGCTTGGAAAACCAGAGGAGAAGAAAAAGTAATAAAAATCATGGTGTGAAATGACCATTTTGTGTCATTTCGCCGTCACTTTAGCAAAGTAATTTCTATTGTACAAACAGTAAAA